TTTTTTGACTGAATATATTTTCTCTTTTGAAATTTGCTTATCGTTTAAGTCCCTTGAAAATCAGGACAGCGTGGCGCCAGCAGCGATAAAAACCGATTAATTAAGACTTGCTTTTTGCTTTTTATACCTGTTATTGCCTCTAAACTACTTTCCCTTCCTTATTAGAGAATGAAATACTCATGAAATATCACGGAAATGTTGCCCGCAAATATGTTACTGGCGAATTTCGCACGCGTTTTGCGAATTCTGTGGTAAAAGGTATTAGAAAAATAAATAAATGAAATAAATAATTAAATCATCATTGCTTAAAACTTAAAACTTGTAAAAATAAAGGATCGCACATAAATAAACTTCAGCCAAGCATCCTAACTCGATTTCTATGCCTGATAATTGACGAGGGCGCAAACGTTGTGTCAGAAGGGAAGAAACGAAGAGACAGAGAGAGAGATGCAGAAACGGATTCAGGTAATCCTCCTTGGATCGGTAATGTTGCAACGGCGATTGGAGTTTTATAAACTTAAAATTAAAACAGCAGATAGATACGAAGACTGAATGGAAGGCATTAGCTGTATAAAGAAAAGACTCGAGGAATAGTGTTTTACCAACATTCCTAGATGTTTTATTAAAAATTTATCCTATCTACAAAACTGTCAGTCAATTATTCCATTTTACAATGATACATGGGTTACAAAACTAATTTTCATTATCTTTTTGACGCTCTCTGTTTAACTTTTTACAGTACTGAATATCCATCCCACTAATGATATTCCGTCTCTTCGACCACGAGGAACTACAATTGTATTTTTAATATGCAGCAAAATGTTCAACGAATTATTAAATAACAAATTTTAAGCCTCTAGAACAAAAAAGTGTTAAAAATACTACTTTACTTTTTGGAATACATTTACACCCTCTTGGTTAACAATTTAATTGAACAGAGTGCTCTATTTGTAGGCCTTTATGCTTTAAGCATTAACGGAGTTTTTAATTTTAAATTACTTGAAGTAGGTATTTTCCTGACTTTTACTCAAATTGGGAACAAAGCGCACTTGGAATGCACTTGCTACAATCGTTGTAGGAATAGTAAACATGGCAAATTACAGAACGTAAACTTAATTTAAATTAGAGGTGGCGACTTTCTCAAGATTTTAAGAAATCTCTAAGATTCTCTCAGATCAACCTCACACGAAGATAATACGAAATTCGAGAAATTCTGCTCAGCCTTCCCTTTCCTTCTTTGATGTATTTACTCTGTTAATGAATATTCACCTCGCACAAGTTACATTCGCAAATTAAATCAGCCGATCGTTACGAAAAATACACCATCACACTAATTGTCGTTTCACTTTTAAAAACATGGTTCAGTTTCGCTGAAGAAACTGCTGTAAAGAACGATGTTCTTAAACATTTTTTGGCTTTCACCTACTTTTGCATTCGAAGGCAATCAAAAATATCTTTCCTGCGCCAACTGAATGCTTCAGTGCACGTTCTAGTGGTGTGTTAAGCAATAGAATTCCAAGTCAGCATTATTTGGTGTCTCTATGCAAAAACGCCATCAAATTACTTAAACTAAAATAAACTGCCATTTGCATCAGTGTTCATCACGAACAGTTATTTACGTTATATTTATGCGGACAAGCGTGCCTTCTTTTACGATTATGAAAATGGCTGTACCTTCAGTACCTACTTGTTTCAACGTACATGAAACTTGATCACATACACGATACAATGTCTTCGCTCAGTTCCGCCATAAAATAGCGAGCATGCTCAGTATCAGCAGGAGTTTGCACGATGACCAACTTGCCGCAGTATTCCTAAAAGCAGCTCTAACATCACCTGTTATCCTCTGGGTGTTGTCATCATTCTCATTTATCTTTTGCGTGGTCTTATGAAGAGTCTCTCGATCGGTTCGCCTTCTGGTGGTAGTCTCCTTTCGCCTAACAGTTGGTTTCGTTGCAATGGGAATGATTATACCTGGGTTGCGGAACTTAGTAGTCGTGCGAGTTGTCGGGCGAGTTGTCGGAGGTACAAATTTAAACTTGAATGACGAACATTCTACGAGTGGCACTTGAAAAGATGTTGGTCTTTTTGTCGGAGAGGATGGATCTGTTCCATCACTGGCACGCTGTCCCACGTAAAGCAGTTTGTTGCCTTGTTGGCTTGTGTCCATCTTGAGTAGGTCATATTCAGTATGGGGAAGAGAGATGGTATACAGTCCACAGCCTTTGGTTATTGTGATATCTTGACTGACATGTGTTTTCCAAGTCCCGCTTTTTCCACATGTATTAGGCTCTGCAGTGTTTAAGATTCGTGTGGTGATGGAGTCAAATGGAGTGATTGCTGCCTCGTTCATGGTAAACACATAGTCATAGGCTCCAGCCACGAGTTTAGAAGGAATACCACCCATGAATGTTCCTTTTCCGTTCAGCTCAAAGTCAAGGCTCTTGCATTCAGCATCTAAGTAAAAGTAGTAATGACATTCCCATTGCCATAAATCTTTGATGAACTTAAAGTGGCGCGTTAAGAACTTTCCTCCTGGGCTTGCTTCGCAGGTGGTACTGGCCCACTGTCCGTCCAGTACTACGGGACGGGGTGGTTTCTGAGGCATCTTTGGAGGCCGCGCACCAGTGCCTGATTGAATCTTCTTGCAGATAGTACAGTTGTAGTTGGAGTTATACCGTTGCAGAGGAAGCTGGTAAGACTTGGGCTTGTACTTCCGGGTCACTCGTATAGTAGGGACCTCACCAAAGTAAAGTTTGTCGAACTTGGAGCTCCTCTTTCTTCGAGTTTCGAGCTTTAATGCTGCAAATTCCGATTCTAAGAAACCAAAGGCATTCCGACAAGCACGTTTCCTGAACGCTCTGATGTCGACTTCAAACACGTCAGCGGCGCGCAAACTTCTCACAACACGCAGCGTATTTGGACAATGTCTAGTTGATACATTGACTGCTGTTTCCTGTTCATGGCCATTATGTGGGTATAGTTCTATCTTTGTAAAGTTAAAGAATGCCTTGTTGCTGCCTTCGATGGTTTCCAAAGGTTCATTCGATATCTTGTAAAACCCTTTCATATAAAGACTTAACTTGGGCTCTGAGCACTGCGAGTCATTGTAGCGATGGAAATAACCTTCCCACGTCGCGTTGCGTAGAACTTTGATGTACCTTGTAACAAACTGTGGACCTGGCCGCACCTCACAACTGAAAACAAGAACAGGCGAACTCAAAGTAAGAAATTAGCTTCTGCCTTCCTGAATTGCATGGTTGAAAGGTGGCCATAGGGGTAATAAGTCTTGTATATACTGGTTGTTTAATTAAAAAAATGCCTCCTGTCTCGGCAGTTCAGAAGTCAGTAATTTTGCCCTCTGATTTGATGAACTGATTATTTACAGCTGAAAGATCAACCCTTGATTCCGTTGTTCTCCAAGAAAGTCAAAGACATCTCCCAACTTTTAGTCAGCGCGTTAGGAGAGGATGGTGGCAGGTGACCTGAATCAGTGTGGTCAAGACTTGGTTTTCATGTTGTGTCGCTATGCCGCTGTATTCCGTGCACTAGTTGTATTTTTTTCTGGAAGTTATTTGAACTTATTTGTATAATTAACCGCAAGCCGATTATTATGGGCCTTTTCTATTTAAAAAAAATAAATGGTTGATCACTAAACAACGAAAACATAGAAAACAGTCTCAAGTGTTCCTATTTGTTTTGTTACTAAATTGGGCATATGTATAGTGCCTTTTAAATCATCCAGTTTAGAATGTTTGGGTTATAGAGACATCGCGGCTCGAGTGTCTGACAGAAAGGTACCATACCCGAAGCTATCAGTTACCAAACATGACCTAGCAGGTATAACTCAGTTTTAATCTCTGAACCTTTTTGGAAAGGTACGTGATCCTAGTTCGGCTTATTACGATCAATGTGGAAATTCCAAACCAAAACATACGTTGGTCCCAAATCGAAAATACGACACCCATTTGAAACCGACCGAGACTGACTAAGCCGGAGCTTTTAGGCTTTTAAGCGACGAGGAAGATTAGCAGAGGACTAAAATAGTCTTGCATAGAGGTGGCAAATAAAATCTTTGCCAAATCAAACTCTTTCACATTATCCGAGAAATAACGCCCTCTCTTAGTGTGCTTTTATTTGGCATCGACGAGTCCTGATTATAACTGAGAAACAAACAACTTCGGGTTTTGAGGCAGGATTTTCGGAAACAAGTCAATGCACGTTATTTGTGATGACGAAAGCAGGATGCAATTTTTTTCGGTGAAAACTGCTTCATCTACTGAGGTACATCACAATCACCAAAGTACCCGATTTTCAGTCAGTGTGGGACGTTTTCCAAATAATACCACTACCAGGTAAATTTTAACCATTGTGTGTCACGAACAGTTCCCTTCTCTGGTTGGCATTAATACGATTAAATTAAATCTGAAGCTCATCCTGTTCACTGATTTAAATAAACAAGACATCCTTCCTTAACTGTTGAAAATCTCGCGAAGAACATTTTTTTCACAAGTCCGAAAATACAATGAAGCGAGAGTTATGTTTTCAATCCTTTACCTTCTTCAATCCAACAATATTTTTGTTTTGCAAAGTTCAATGCCAAAGATTCTTGCTCGTTAGAGTGTGCAACGCTTGGCTGACGTTTTCAGGGCCCTGACTACAAATAGGTTACTGGATACCGATATCAAGTTTTTGGGTTTTGATATCCAAAAGGCGCTTAAGAGCTTTAGTGTAAAAGACCTTATCTTAAGTAGAGACAATTTGCACATTAAAGTTCTCCGGCTATCTTTCTGAAAGTATGCTGTGTTATCTAGAGTCTCTAAATATTGTCTCAGGAAAGCACATATCCTTAGGTTTACTTGAAAGTTTAGCTGGAATAACAGCGGCAATTATTTTTTAAAAAACGTTTTTATACTTATTTAAAAAAAATAACACCACAATGCCCTCACGCGACGTTTGCTACCATAAAGAGCTTTTATTGGACTTAAAAACAACCCAAAACAACTCAATATCATTTGCATTTTTGAACCGCAATTTAGTGTCTGCGGTAAATGGCACAATGTTCTTGAGCAGATAATGAGTTCACTACGTGATCGTGATGTACTTGAAAACTTTTTTACACACGAAAATGGTTTAAGTGAGATGCGGGCTCCTGGCCAACACAAAGTGGAGTAACCGCTCGAACGACAAAGCGGAACACTGAGTGTCACGTGCCTAAATGGGTCCTGTTTAATGTAAGGTGAGCTGCAGCGATGGCTGGAGGACAGCGATGATACCTATTGGAGCTATTTAATTCCCACATCACGTAACAAAACTGCGAGAAGATTCACGATCTACGTTCTACATCATGACACTCGACAAAGGAAAGAATGTTTTCTTCCAAGCACTAACCCATGGCGTTAGTTGTTCGTGCGTGTAATGATGTTCTTAGAGACACAATAAATTGCGAGACGTCTTGTTTTCAATAATTATTACTTGTCTCATTAATATTGCTTCGGCTAAAATCCTAGCTTTGCGATAACGCAGTCAAAAAAGACCAGTCCATTAAGCTAATGTAAAATGACAGTTTTCTTGACCTTTGATCTGGTGTTATTTTGGATTTCTTAGCTTTTGGAACAAAGCAAGCCCTTGCTGACATTTATATCATGAAACACGACAGTTCATACAATAAACTTGATACTAAAAGGATGAAACAATGGCTGATAGAGCCAGAATCTCCCTTGAAAGGAAATAACCCCTCGTATCCTTGAAGTATGAAAAACCAAATTAGCATTACACTGTCACTTGTACACTGCAAAATATAAACGTCAAGTGGACCTCGCCCTAGCTTTCAACTAAAAGAGCTTCCGTTGTTGGAATTCCAAAGTACATATATTGGACATTCTGACAAATACAGAAAGCATGTAGTGGCGCTTGAAAGTGTAGTGCCAATTTGGCCACCAATAAACAACGTGGAGTGTGAAGAGCGTTTAGCGGAACCGTCACTGCTTCATAAATGATGATGTTCATTTACACACATATTAATCAATTAACTTGATAACTCCCAAAGGAAGTAACGTTGAAAGACACCCGGTTAATAAGCGGTGAAATGCTGCAGTCTTTTGTCTTTAACAAGCTCAGATATTTCGCTGTCAGAATGACAGGAATTTTTTTACGAGACCAGCCAATTGTAGAAATCCAAGCAATTATGAACGCCACCAGTCAACACGACGCACCTCTGCCGAGTTAATTTGCCTTATCTCCTCCTTCTTCACGCTCTAAGTCACCTCGGTAATAAACAATAATTAACTCCGAATGTTTGCCACAAGCGAAAGCTACGGATAACTTAAATACGTTTCGCTGAGTATATTGCCGCCCCTTATCAGAGGATTATGTTGTTGAAACGTTTATTAATCCCTGGGATTACAACACGCACTGCAGTCCTTCCCAGGAATAATCACTTTCATTGAATTAAAATTATCGACGAAAGTCCTACCTCGATGAAGTCCACCTTCCCACAATGTTTGGGGTGTCGGAACCACGAATTCTTATTCCAAGGCTGTGATATATGTACTGCACAATATGAAGACAACTTCCTTCACCGGCTTTGCATGTTGGTAGCACTAAATTTAGAACATAAAACACGGAGTGAGGGTTTAGATTCTTATCAAAGCCCAAACAAGCTGCAGAAAACTGTAGGCACTTTGTTGGCCAGCTCTACTACGATCCATGAAACATAAACTTCAAAGTTGGTCAACTTGAAACTGGAAATTCAATAAAGAGCGATAAATACCTACCTAATAACATCCAAAAGGAAATTAGGGCAAGGTGAAACCTCGTTACATTCATGGCGTTTACAAGTATGTCTATGCAAGGCTTGAGTTTCACAGCAAATTCTCAGGCTCAGTAAATGCTCTTTCTTCTTGGCTGCACTGTTACCTCTGTTCAGAGAAAGCAAGAATACCGTTTTTATCCTAAGAGGTCAATTGAAGTCTCCTGCTGGTAGCCAAGGCTCGCAAGATTCTTAAAATCGCATAGAGATTAGTATGAAGCATGCACTTTGTCAAGAAGTGAAGTTGTGCTATATTGGCTCGCCACTAAGTTAATTATCTCTTGAAGTGATCTTTTTGTGTCAAAGCGATGCCTGTTCATGTCTCAATGCATGCCCTCCAGGTCACTTTTTTGTGTCACCCAGCTCCCACTCCATTGTTCATAAACGAATAATTATTATGAAACGCGATCCTTGTCTACTAAACCGCATTGTTGTTTTTCATAATTATGGTTAAATCCCACAAGTTTACAAAGGATGACTTTTTTTGGGTGTTTTAAGTTTTGGCCGGTCATTGTGGTTATGAAAAGCTCTTCACTTTCATACGGGACCTTTTTTGACCGGTTTGGATACAACCTTAAAAGGTATTGATATATAAGATCTTCGATTATGGCACAGAGATGCGTTCCTTTTGATACGTTTCTTTAGCCTTTGTTTTTGTTACAAATACAAGTTAAAATATGTCAAAAGGTAGAATGGCAACAATCGTGAACTGGCGGTTGTTTCAAACTTTTACGTGTTTTCTTTTGAAAGTAGTAAACAACGAGTCAATAAAAGAAGCAAAATAATATTTAAAGGTTTCCACGACCCTGTTCAAAACTAAATCTGCCGTTGACAATCATGCAAAGGAAAGAAGAATGATTTAAAAGTAATTACAGAATAACTAATGGTGTGGATTACTTGGTTACCTTGGTCACGATACAAACCACATCCGCTCATAGATGAAGCAAACAAGTTAAGGAAAACATGGCATGTGGTGAATTTTTTTGATCTCCGTTTAATGATTTTCTTTTATTAGGGAGAGGAATTCACATGTCAGCCCCTCGAGAAAGTAAATATTATGTATCAATGTCCAATGTCCAGATTTTGTCTTTAGCACGTGTTTGTACTCTTGAGGACGCTTTACTTGTCAAAAATCTTTTCAATTTCCCAGAGCACGACACATTCCACTCTCTAAAATGGTATGATTTTCACTCGTTCTTCAGGAATGTTTATCTAATTCATTGATCTTATACCATAGATATTTGATGCTTCCTTACTTGATGTCCTATTAGTTAATTCCTGCAAGGTCAGTTTTAGGCTGTAGTTCTTAGTGTAGTTGAAATTTAACCGTCATTTACTGACTGATTACTGACTTTCTTTTAGTGGTTAGGGGAAGATTGTTTGAGAATTTTTTTAGTCAAGTGAAAACATTTACACTTTTTTCCAGCTGATGGTACGCAGTGAAGTGAGGGAAAACATGATAGAAATTCCTGTTGTCGTTGAAAAATAGCTCCAGTTTTCATCTAAATACCTCGGAAAAAGTATTATCATGTAACAAATTCCACTTTCTGATGTTTTTGCTTCTTAACATTGTTCCTGAAATAATCCCACTAGACATATAAGTAATTCTTCAAAAGATTATAATTGCTTGTCATGCCATAATCCAGCAAGCACTGTACTATTCAAGGAACGCCGCAGTAACTCTCGAATCTTGACATTAACCTTCCCAACTCAAGATTCCTAGCATGGCTAAGAGCTTGAGACAATTTGCTTTGTTTGCTAAGAGTGGCCAACCAGAAAGTGGTTTTCCAATCGCGTTAGCCAAAGTTTACCTTAGGCGTACAAGTTAAATACAAAGTTTATTTGCTTGTGTTTTCAGAGAAAATGCATCCTTGGCTAAATTTACGGAAAAGGGCAAGAGTCAACCTATCAACAAAAAGATAATATTTCAGTTTTAGGACGTGTTTGTCAGAGATATCACAAGGGGCAATTTGTTCTTTAAACGAGCAGCTTTATAAACGCCGCGTGAAAGATTTAAGGTCATAAGATCGAAAACACGAAAAATTAATCAAAACGATATGCAAATTTCAGGCTTTTCGCTGATTATGTGACTGCCCGGTGGTAGAAATGTGGTGTCGCTGACCCTTTCCTCTTTCGAAATCTGAAAATCTGCTTCTTGGTCAAGAAGGATTGTAGAGACCTTTACAGAGAATACTGTTTCCATATTATGGAGGCAAAAGAGCGCCCCCGAGACCTTTGCACGCTGCCTGAAAAATTTTGTCTTCAAGTTACGGCTATTTTTAGTTCTAATCTAACAATTATGGAAAATCTGTCAATTCAAGCTCATGTGTTTATGAATTTAAAAGCAAGATGAGCATATTTAGCATATGCGAGGTTAACTGTAACGCGATCTTGCTGGAAATGATTCAAACTCAAATGAAACAAAGATTCTCATTATAACACCACGATGGTTTTAATAATGATTTCGACTGCAACAATATTTCTGCTATAAGTCGAGGTTGTGAAAACTCGAGGGCAATTTGTCGGTTAGTTTGAGCAAACACGTAAAAAACGTTAGCGAGAAGGTATTTCGTGAATGGTTCCATCTTTTTTGGAGGTTATAAGTCACGAGGGTTCAGAGAAGAATGGAATTGATTCAAGAGAAAGCTTTTCAGCAAAGCCCCTGTAATTTAACATGAATCATTAGTTTATAACACGAATAATACTTATCAGCCAAATTGTACACAATAAAATAGTTTCCTTTGTTAGTAAGCTTCCCAAAGCTACCGAGTATCAGTGTCTAACTGAAGTAGCATGGCTTAATACACCAAAACTTAATCACATTTACCTCGGTAGAAAGCGTTACCCTGCTCTAAAAGGACGATGAAATCTTCAGTCGTCTTCAGCTCTCCTGCCTAAACTCCACTGAGTAACTGAATTGTTGTGATTGAACGGTTGCAGGACGGCAGTTTATACTAACCCTTCCAGACAACCAGCCCGTCTAATCTTCCACAATGATGTGGGATTTTATCCTATCACAACTGGAAAACACATTAAGACCTGTACCGAAAGAAACTCATTATATATTTGATGACGAAGTCGGCTGGCTCTGCCTTAACTATCGGATATATAAATCCTCGCGGCACGCAAACAGATTTAACTAATATTTCTCAGATGTGCACAATATGTCTCTCGGAATTGCCAAGTTAAATAGAGAACGTCTTGCTTTTGATTTGCTGCCGATTTAATTTCCTCTCTAGTCTTCAAAAAGCAACAGGAAAAAGATTAATTATGAGGAAAAAGGTTTATGTAACATAAATGGCTATCCAGTAATCTCTTTTTGTCAACGATGTTAGAAATTCCAAAAAATCATAATGATATTTGAAGGGCGTTTTTTAGTAGACATTTCCCGGCTATGTCGTTTTGAAAGCTGTTTTTGACGTGGAAAAATCGATGGATGGTCAGTCTTGACTAATGCCAACAAGCTAAGAGTAAAAGCACTTTGCGTTTCGTAATCACCGGATTTTTACAAACACCTACCTTTAGAAATTAAATCTTCGCCATTTTGCCATCTGATTTTTTCGCGTTTGAGAGG